TCTTTTTCTATACTCGACACAGAAAAGACAGCATCATTATACACAACAGATTTACCTTGTTCTTATTCTTAATCATGATACTGAGCCTATACTTGACTGCATGTCCACATTATGCTTGACAGGAAGCATAAACCGGAGTCCTGGAGCCACGATGTTCTTTATGCTACAAATTGTGATTAATGTTGACTTTGGAATTTGTTTTCAAGTCACTCTTGTTTTTGGGTTGCCATTTGATAACTTGGTTCTTCTCAGTATTTAAGTGTGTTTCCGTCAAGTCACTTGGTAAAATGTTCATTTCCTCCTTTGCCTGCAATAGCATTTTGTTTCTAAAGGGTCTGTCCTGTCCCCTTAGCATGAAGGCTGTCCCGCTTTAGATCTCAAGATGTGTTTTCTTCCAATCTGAGCTCGGTTAATTATTAAAAATGAGTTCAATAATTAAGGAGTGATACAGATTCATCTATTTTTCAGCACTTTTGAGTGTTTCTGCTTGCAATGCTTTTGGGGGGAAGAAATTACTTAAATATGCCGTGACTGTTGGTCTTTTAAACCTTCCACCCTGAAACAAGTCATTTATTTACCTGTTGCACAACCCAGTTCCAGTCACTGAATGTCATTTTCTTTACCTGCAGTTTTTTTTTTCTTGAAGTCAAGTTTATTTTCAAAGGAAAACAAGACAGAAGGTTCTGAGGTTCTGGGCCTCCAAACAGTGACCCTGCAAGCTGAATTCGGTGAAAGTGGTTTTCATTCTGGGGATCCTCTTTTAGCTGTTCATGATCTTTGTAGAGAGAGTCTATTGGAAGGAGAAAAGCTGCTGAAGACCTCTGGGAATCAAGGGTTGACTCCAGGATGGGGATCATGCCCTCCTGAGATGTTCGGCAGCACATTTCTCCTGCCTGTGTAGAAGATGGATGCAGAACCACCTCCAAACAGTGGTGAACCCTACCCAGTCAGCCCACCTCTTGTAGGTGAACAGGAGCCTGGCAACTTCTTCAAGAAGCAGGAGCAATTTGATTTGGCTGTCTGCTGTGACTGGTGACTGCTGTGTGATTTCCAGATCCCTGTGGATTTAGGCAGCTATGGAAGGTTTGGAGATCCAGACATAAAGGGGACAATCCTGCTCCCACCAGAGATGAATTAGAAAAGCTCCTGAGTGAAACAGAACAAGATGCTGTCTGACCTGAGGAGTTTCTTTAGTCACTATTCAGACTTAAATAGATTCCTAAATTCCCCGATGCATTTAAAGAGTGTACATTGGTACTTGCTGAGACCCAGCATAGGACCTGCATCAGACCTATTTATGTCTTTCTGGAACAGCAGCTAGAGGATAATCAGACATCCAAACTGCCATTAAAAAAAAAAATAAATACAAACATATATATTTTTTCCTAATAAAATCTACTATAAGTGTTGAAAATTGGAAGTAAGAAATCTTACACATAAAGACAAAAATACCTCATCCCAGCAAAACAGCTGGGAAAAAGGTAAAACTGGAATGGGAGACAGAGAAGGAGGCTGAGAGCTCAATAAGAGGTAAATGTAAATAAAAAAGGGGGGGGGGGGGTCAGGAGGAGACGTTTTAATACCTTTAATACTCTTCTTTTAGAAAAGGAATACTTGGAAATATTTTCCATAACAAATTTTGTTTCTGAACCTGGAAGTGGAAAAAAGCCTGAATCAGGCCTGTTCCAATACAGCTTATTTTGAATGCGAAACGGTGATTTGCACCTCTTAATGATAAGAGTTGTTGCCCAGCAGTGTTTTTGTAATGATTGCTGTAGTATGTATGTGACAGATGTACACAATGGGAGGCAGTTGTGTGCCTGGACACAGATGCACACAAACACACACACTAGCGCATGCACATGAATTGGTATTACGAGCAAAATGTCCAGCACTGGAGAAAAACTCTATGCTGCTCAACATGCAGATGGCTGCTGTCAGTCGTTCGTTTTTATGGGAGTCCTAAAAATTCATGAGGTTCACTCAATGAAAGAAGGTAAATGAATAATGATGATGAGATTGCTGCTAGTAAAAGAATGCATGTAGGCAGATATCAAGGGGATTTTTTTTTTTTTTTGAGTCAGCTGTGGTTGTTGAAGAGGGAGACTTACAAGGTGCCAGTCTTTGTGCGGAGGGGACAAAATGTCCTACCTATTGGTTCTTAGCAAGTTGCATTCCCTTTGTACTGGCATAAAGTTGCAGGGTGCTGATGGAAAGGGGTTCCTCCAACAGTGTGCAGCTCTCCTTGAATTAATGACTGCTCTACTGCCCTCTCTTGCTTCCCCTCCAGGAATTGTTAGGACTTTCTGAGAAGGATGGGATGTCCACCTCTGTGTTCTCTCTGGTATTCCTTTCTGTCTTAGATGATGATTGCATATAAGCATGGTTTTATTATTAAAAATATACTAAATACTTGATATTTCAGTATTATTGATTTGTAGGCCTCTTCTAAGGAAAGTCTTCATTTAATACATGAACAGTGCTTACCATACCAGGATGTTCAATGGGGGGAAGATGAGATGAAGCTGTCAGTACTTGCCTCAAGACAACCAGAAAGGGTCATCAAGAAGGCTCCCTCACTACTTCAAATGTCCTATCTCTTCCCTTTGCACCAGTATCCTCCCACTCTTTGTATCACATCAGCTCTGAACTGGAAGGAGATGAGCACCTTGAAAGGCTGATTCATTCCTACTACTTCTGACACCCACACTGGAGTGGGCTGAATGCATTTCTGGAGCAGTCTGTGTCTCTGTGTGCTCCCATAAACGTTCCCTGTATTGATTCCTCTCTTCTTGGTGCAAACACTGAGCCAGCTGAAACTCAGCAAATGATTCTTCTGCTTGCAACATTGCCTATAACCTTGCCTACACAATAAGTAATTCTAGCCCAAAGTTTCATATGCCAAAAATCACAATCTGCATCTTGGGATGCTTCAGGGAATGCACCACCCTTCTCTAAAAAGGAAACCTGGATGTACAGATAGGGAAGGTCTACGGCTGGAGTGTATTATATGTCCTACTGGATTGTAGCTTCTGTTTTAGTTTAATTTGAAGGAAAACCATTTCATGCATTCCAGACAATTCTATGATATGAACTAAAGCACATTAGGTGAGGGATGTCTCAAGGATTTGCTAAGCTCTAAGTGAAGAAATTTCACTTCTGCTTTAAGAAAAAGAAAAGTTAATCAACCAGAGGTATCTCAGCTGGGTTTAGATGTTCATCATCTCATCTACACGCAGAGCAGGTGTTCAAAAGTGCTTCAGGATGACAGAGTATCAAGACTCGATTCTTTCTTCTCTCATTCTGCTGTGAATTCATTGACTTGGGGGTGCTACTCCTTATCTCCACCTTCATTAAGGAAAGAAGAATTGGGACACTAGAGTATAAGCAACCAGAAAGTGAAACAGGAAATAGAGAGAGAAGCTTGCTTAAAATAATTTGAAAATGATTTATTGGACGCAACCTCTACCCTCAGTGATTTCTGGTGTTATTACTTTTCTACAGTACAACTGAGGAGGACAGTAACTTGCTGTGGGCTAAAGGTAAATTATGATCTATTGCAAAGGAGGGAAGGAAAAATATACTAAAAGAAGGTGTGTGAGGCACATGCTCCCTCCCCTGATGGTGTTCAGTGTGTCGGATCTTTCTGGAACAATCTGTTCCAAAGCCTGTTAGGCAAAAGGGGATGTCAAGAGTTAAAGCAAGCTTCATGAAGCAAAGAAGGGAGAGTGAAATGTCATGAAGTTTGCTGGGGCTGGGCCTCATTGCACGCAGCCTTGGTAGTATGTCCAACAAGCAGGAGGGTATTTGGGAATATGCATTTGTAACCTTGCAAATGCCTTGCAGTGGTGGCTGATGTAGGGGGATCTTCTTTACCCTGCTGTCATCCCAACAGATGTATTCACATGTATTGTGAATACATGAAAATCATGTATTCACACTGGTTGCTTTGTATTTAAAAAGGCATGAAGTCCAACAGTTTTTGTGCTAGGTATTATCATTCCCTTCTTTGGAACCTCCAGATTTTGTTCTTCCTTACCCAGATGCAACTGAGGCAGACACCTTGAGAAACACCACCCATGGAGGAGGCTTTTTCCGTGAAAGTCTTTGTGTTTTCAGCTCTGGAAACAGGCTGAGATACACTTCTAGGCATCTGCAGAATCCTGTTTCCACCATTGCATGATTTCATGCTGACCCAATCACATGTCCAGTCTCTACCATACAAATCAAGCAGTAAAAAAGGACAATCAACTTTTTTTTTTTTTTGGTCAACTCTTTGAAAAGAAGCTGGTTGAATGCTAGACATTTTAGTCTTGTGTTTGATTTTGTATCTAATTGGTTTAATTGCATGACCTGGTAAGTCACTTAAGCTAAGATCTCAAAGAATGACCCCTTGGTTTGGAGGCAGTGTGAAAGTGACCTGGTGTTACTAAAGTTTTTAAAAGTAGTGATGTTTGTCTGTCCCTGTGTCATTAAAAAGTTACTAATAGAAGCGTATATTTTTCTGAATGCAAGTTTCTTGTAGGCCTAGATTCATTACGTCTCATTTTGGATATTTGATTGGGGAATATGATAATTAAAAGTACTTTTTGTACTCAGTGAAGGATAATGGTCCCTGCAGAGAGTGTTTTTCTCTGTTGGTTATAAAGGATGCTTAGGAAGAAGGTGTTTCTCACACAGGGAAGTCATTCTGGGGGAATGAAACCAAACCTCAGCCCCCACTACCTTTTGAACAAACTCCTTTCTAGAATATTTTTCAGCTGTTTGGGAACAATGAAGACAGAAGAAATGAAATGAAGATGTTAAGTGCAACTTCTGATCCAAACAGATGTGCACAAATCACCTTTTGTAGGATCAATCCCTTCTTTCCTACACATTATCGAAGAGAAATGAATGACTATAAGATGATCGAAATGAGGCAGTGTTTTCTGTTTGTTTTCTGCTATTTTTTGGTGTCTGTTGACTTTTTTTAACTTTTTTTTTTTTTTTTTTCCCTTCAGGCTGGATGCCCAAAGTAGCTTTCACACAGTTGAAATCATCAGTTCTTGCTAACGACACGCGATTAGTACTCCAGGAACATGTTGACTGGCATCCTGGTGATGAAATCATTGTAGGAAGGACGGGCCTTGGAGATGTACAGCAGCAAGAAGAAATGGCCATTATTGAATCTGTAAACAACACTGTGATCTACCTCAGATCACCCCTCAGGTATCCTTTCCAGGGCCCAGGGGATTTCTATAGCAGAGAGCGAAAACAGGAGAAAATTTGGTCGAGATGAGGATTTGCAGTTTCCTGTGGGATATAATAGCTATATAAATCCTTTTAAAAAAGGTGGTCAGAGATATTTTGGTTTCTCTCTCCCCCTAAAGCTAGAGGGTGTTCAATCCTGAATGCCTCTGACTGTGTTTAAATCCTGTATTATAACCATGAACTCAGAAACCTTTGAAGCAGAAAAAAGTGATGGCCAGTCAAGGCCTTAGTGTGGGGTTGACTAAGAATTTTTCCTGTAAAGTTATTTTCTTGAGTAAGTGCATTTTTTCACAAAAGTGTCTGATTCTGTTAAAAATAATTAAAAAAAAAAAAAAGAAAGAAAAAAGCCTTCTCTCTTTACTGAATTGTTTAAGTTAATTAACAAAACATTCAAAGTGAATTACTTCAGTATGGAAATACTGCTTTGGGTTTCCACTGAACATTAGCTTGGCTGTTTTTGCTCTCTTTGTTCTCTGTGCATGGAGACTTTAGCCAAACTATACTTCTTACATCATAACCAGTGCTGAGGCATCTTCTCTGGGAGGCAGCCTAACTCTGATACTCGTGAAAGCCAATAGTAGAATTTCTTGATAGAAATATGTGGGGCTTGATGAAGAAAATACTTTTGTTTGTCGCCACAGTACGTTTTGGGAAGATGAAGGAAATTCAAATACTGAAATATTTTGGTGTAAACGTACATAATCTAAGGAGAATTTGTGAACATGATAGACAAGATGAAAATAACATCAGCAAAGGAAAAATATATGTAGTCCATATACATAGATGCATTAGATAAGCCACTGTCAATTGTGAGAAGATGACTGATACCAGCTCTGAATTTGGATGGCTGGGTTCATACTTTAGCTTACGGTAAACATCATTCCTGCTCTCCATCAGCTGCAGATGCTTTTGTGCCTTCTTTATGTCTTTCTCTAGGTACTCCCACAACGTTGGAGAGGAAAGGGTGAATGGGCAGAGCCTGCCTTTGACTGCTGTGGTGGCACTGATTAGCAGAAGGGTTGTTGTTCAAGGGAATGTCACAAGGGAGAGGAGGGCCCACCTCAGAGAGTGTGCAAAAGCAGGTGTTGCAAGAGGTGAGGAGGTCTTTTGTAACATACTGTAACATGTAGCATACTGGGGAGTAAAACTGCTTTGTTAAAACCAGACCGTGGTATCACTGTGTATTAGAAATATTTCTTAATAGGGTAACTTTGAGATGTACCAGTGCCAGGAAATCAATTTTATCTTTCCAAACATTATTTGACATTGAAGTATGACGTCTTGGGAGCTGAAGTGCATTTCATTGTAATATCTCAGATGTAATATTTTCACATTGTTTTTTCAAGCCACCTTGGGAAAGACCCCTTAGTTTTGCCTGAGCCTAAGGGTGTAGAAAAGAAAGTATCTTCTGAACACATATTTCAGTGTACATAATATATTAAATTTTTAATTGTGTTTACTATTTAGTCACTTTAAGAAGAAGGAAAAACAAAGCAGCCTGATGCTTGTTGTACTCATTGGTATAAAATATTAAGATGTAGTTTAGTGCTTAGGGATACCAAAAAGCAAAACCAGGTGATGATTTCTTGTAGCATTTAGTAGCAGTGGTGAAACAATTGGTATCTCAATTCTCCTTTGGTTTTACATTTGTGAAACACAATGAAGTTTGACGAATGGCTTCCTGATTTACACCAGCAGGTGAGGAAATGGAGTCAGACACAGTGATTATAATTTAAGGAGAGTTAGGTTATCTGGCAACCCAGGTATAAGTCTTCCTTTAAAAATAAAATGCCTTGGGCATTTAGACTGTGACACAAGACTTCATTTGATATCCAGCAGCCAACTGCTTATATTACTCATGGATTTATGGTCCATTTTGTGTGGAACTCATAAATATAGTCTCTGAAATGTGCTAACTGTTTGAGCTGTTTGAGGTTTTTATTTGCATTAATGTATAGGAGGATTTCTCAGTGGAGTCACCAGAAGATGAGGAGGCAGTGATTTTATTTTTATTTTTTAGTGGTTAATTTACTTTCTTTAAAAGAAAAAATGAGTATTACTGACTGTAAGCAGACCCAAGTTATATATTTAAGTCTGAATCCCCTTGTACCAAAATGTCCTAAGCACAGACCTGTGAAAGGACACATTTGATGAATGTTGATTCATTCCCAGCCCTATGGTTTCCTCTCCTTGCCTTCAGACTGTGGGAAGTAATGTTTCCTCACCCATCTGCAGGGACAGTCAGGAGAGAGAGAGTTTTAAAGAAATTTCAAAATGTTCTCATTTCAGCTTAGTTCAGTATAGCCGTGCCCAATCCTCTTTTCAAGAACCTCACCCAAGGTAAATCAATGTCAAATACATCATCCCTGTGCATAGGCCTATTTAAAATTGAACACAAGGACCTTTCCAAAGCATATAACTGCCACAGCTTCCTGCTGGTTTTAATAAAAAAAAAAAAATATCTAAAAAGTCCACACTCTAAGGGAAGAAATTGTGAAAGTACTCAGGAGGAGTATCAAATCTGCTCGCCTGTGGCAGATTGTCTTAGGGCATGTGTTTAAGGTTGCTGCTGGAGACAGGAGTTCACTGAGTTGGTGTGGTGGGTCTCATGATGTGGCTTGAAGGCCATGGTCACCACAGAGATGTCATGCTGATACCTCCTACTGCCTTGTATTCCAGGTGACTCCAGCTGTCTGTACAAGCGAAGTGAGAGGCAGCTGGGGTCCCGGGACCTGGGGGCCATTGTCATTGTGGAAGCTTTCCAGGAAGAGGCAAGTCGGCTGCAGGTGGAGGGGGTCCAATTCCGCCACATGGGCCAAACGTTTGGGTGGCACCACAGCGCCCTGACAGTTGCTGGCGATGCACAGATGGCAGGTGAGACAGCTGCTCTGGAGACGGGCCCAAATGAGCTCACATTATCTACCTTTTCCTGCCCAAAGATGGGTCTGCACGGCATGACCCAAAACCAGATCCTATGTCTGAGAGAGTTGTTGAAATGCTTCTTGAACTCTGCCAGGCTTGGTGCTGTGACCACGTCCCTGGGGAGCCTGTCCCAGTACCCGACCACCTCTGGGTGCAGAACCTTTCCCTCACCCCCAGCCCGACCCTGCCCTGTCCCAGCTCCATGCCGTCCCCTCAGGTTCTGTCGCTGTCCCCAGAGAGCAGAGCTCAGTACCTGCCCCTCTGCTCCCCTCGTGAGGGAGCTGCAGGCTGCCATGAGGACTCCCCTCCATCTCCTTTTCTCTAGTCAGTGTGCCACTTCCAACTCTGGAATTGAAAGCCCTAATATACCATAATGAAGCGCAAAGCTGTCTCAGGGATGTTCAGTAAGCCAAAATGTAATTATATGACCTGAAAGTTAAGGAACGTACTTAGTTGTTTTGACTGGTTCTTGGGTGAGCACAAAATTCATCTCTGTGGAAGTGGCAATGAGGTCTCTAAAGAGTGGTGGTGATGGGAGCAAGTTAGGTCAGCTCAAATGTTTTAAGGGTTCTAGATTGGACTCTCCCCTTCAGTTAACCCACAACTTTGCCTTTCCTATGCCGGATTCATCGCTGTGTGAGGATCTAGGCTTCCTGGTGGCCAAAAGCAGCCCTGGAGATGATCCTGGAGTACAGTGGGCAGGTCACCATGCCTGGCTAGACAAGTTGTACAAGATACCTGATCTGTACTCACTGTCCTTCTGAGATGTTCCTCATTTCCTTCAGGCCCAACTCAGCCAATTCAATCACCCAGTTTCCTGAGCTCATAACATAGCTCACTCATAGGATACTGCTGTATCCTTTCACTTAAATCTCTTCCTTCCTCATAACAGTGGATGCCTCAAATAACCCATTTCTACACTCAGGGCCCCTCTTCTGCTGTGGCCATCTCAGCAATGCCTACCTGTTGGCAAAGACCTGCAAAGATGAGCAAGGGTGGGCAGTTACAACTGGTCAGTCTTATGGCAGTGAAAAGCATTAACTGCACAGCATCGAAGGATGAGGAGCTAATAGAAAATTCTCCCACCCTTCAAAATGCAATGTGCTTTTTGCTCACAGTACTATTTTCTTTTTCAGACTCTTACATACGTGGCTGCTCTGTTTTGGACTCCGTTGGCCAAGGACTCCATCTGGCCGGGATCTCAAACCTCAGTGTGGACAGTAATGTCTTCTATAACATTTCAGGCCATGGGCTTCTACTGGGTAAGTGCGGCAGGAAAATATCTATCCAACATGTAACAGCAACATGTGCTAATGATCATTTGCATGAAAATGTCTTTGGAGAAAAGGATCCTTAACTGCACCCTGATGACTTTAATCACATCTTCCACATTTCCTGGTATAAGGGAATCTGGAATAAAGCTCTCAGTATTCCTCATGCAACTCCTATCAGTTATTTCTGTTTGGCCATACATATACTCTCTATTTCTTCAGGTCAGTCTTCACTTGGATCTTTTTTTTTTTTCTTTTTTTTTTTTTTTTTTTTCCCCACAGTGTACAACTAGAAGGATATTTGTTTTTAGGGAATTGATTTATCTCTCTGTAGAAGAGCACCATTATGCAATATTTAAGACCCCAGTTCAGTGAGGCATTTAAGAGCATACTTACCTTTAACTTCAGTCATTTGACATTGAAGATAATGGAGTGAAAGCATATGTTAAAAGTTAAGCAGAGGATTTAGCTCTTAAATAAATTGGAGCTTGGAGCAACAAAACTGTTAAACAACAAAATATTTCTCCTAACTAACCATCAGGAGACTGACTTGCAGCATCTTCTGCTGGGATCTCATGTTGCCTGAATACCTAAAGATAAAGCTTGATTTTTGTTTCCATCAGAAGTAGGATAAAAAATGACCAATTTTAAGATAAACAGAGATAAAAAAAAGCCTTCAGTTCCCCTCACACAGAGAGTCCCTATGCTAAGTTCTGTATATAAACATAATAGGATGTGATAAATTACAAATTAAACAGTGGAGACCAATAAGAGAAGAGCGACTGTACACATCTTGCAGATGAAGAGAGCTGGCCCAGAGAGATGTGATGACTTGCCAAAGGTGAGACACAGAGTCCTCGTGGCTGTGGGGAAGCAGAACAAGATCTCCGTCCTGCTGGGACACCTTGGCTCACTTGTGCTAGGACATGCTTCTGGCTTAAAGGACTCTGGGCTGAGCTGAACATTTCCTTTGAAGTTTCAGCCTGAATACACCTTACCCCAAGATGTCTTTAATGGCTTCACTGTCAGCAGCTCCAGAGGGTCTGATGGATGAATTTATATATCATTTTGTTGCCTGTGAAGGAATATTTATTATAGCTGGCTGTTTGCAGCTCCAGAATCCCTCAGTGATTTCATCTAAAACCCGTATTTTCAGGGGTTTTGCAAGACAGTCATAAAAAGTCGCTCTGGGCTTAGAATTAATTGACATACCAGGTCTCAGCTTGGAAGCCAAGATCCTTTTTGCCACCTCACAAACCCATATGGCTGTCAAAAGGACTGCTTTAGGACCCTGCTTATGCTCCGGTAGTGGCATTATTTGTAGTAAATATAACCTGGAAAGGAAATATTTCCTAAATGGATACTATTCCAAAAATGGAGAAAGGCTCAAAAGCTGTGAGGAAAGCTAAAAGTAATTACTCTTCTCTCCAAAAAAAAGAGCTCATATGTTTTGCTACGGTTTACCTTTAGGGAATTAATGACTGGGGAAGGGATCTGTATCTGGGATAGTACCAGAGCAGGTATAGTTGAAGATAATTTCTTTTTGATAAAACAAAACTAAGTAGACTTTATTTGCTCCTGGTGTAGGCCAAACAGAGATGATTCACTTTGTATTCTGCTTTCACACCAACAGAGTGGAGGGACATGTGCTGATGTGTCATTTTTTGGAGTTGACCTGTGCATAGGTCTATCCACTATTTGTCACTGAGTGGTACATTTCTTCATGGTGTAGTGTAAAAGGATATATATATATTGATATATGCTTATGTATACTTATGTATATGTATTTCTTCCCAATTCAGTACTGTTCTGGAGCACCCTATGTCTCTGAGTTGTGTGATCAATTGAGTGGTTTTCCTTTCTCTCCTCATGCTTCACGTTTAGGAATGGAGAACTTCCACTTTTATGCAGGGTTGTGACAGTTTTAGACTTTTTCTTATATATAAGTGGGGCAGTGTATGGAGATGTGGGAGATACAATTTTGCCTGTGTACCCATAGTTGGAATCACTTAGAAGCTCTTCATTTTTTTCTTTTTTTTTTTTTTCTTCTTTTCTCTCCCAGATGTAAAATGTGCTTTATAATAGTCTCTTTATTAATTTCTCCATAAACTTATGGCAAAATATGTCTGCAGTTATATTCCTTTATAACACTTCATACTGGGTTTTCTGCATATTGAACTGTGGAATTGTGGTCTCTGTTGCCCTTTGCAGAATATGTCTTGTAGTATTTTTTTGCCTGACTGTATTTGTTTGATTAGAGTGTAGGCTCTTTGTGGCTGAAACTATTTTTTATCATATTTACAGTGCTGGTCTAATCTTGGTCACATCATTGACACAAATCATGGATACAGTTCACGCCAATGTCAGCAGTTGGACTAGATGATCTTTGAAGATCCCTTACAACTGAACAATTCTATTATATCTTTGCTGTGGCCTTCTGACCTTTCTGAAGCACACAGCCTTCCCCTTCCCATGCTATGCATCGCTGTGATCAACCATGGCAGTCTTTGACCATGTCACAGCCTTCTCTGTTAAACACAGATTTCTAAGTTCTTTTCAGACAGTGACTTACCGAAGGACAGTCACACAAATCTAATTCCCAGGTCCACCATGCCAGCAAAGCAGGCACTGAAAAACCAAGAAAGTTCTGTGATGTGCACAGTAGAGTGTGTCCAGGTATATTTATATTTTTCCCTATTATTAATAATTATTTATTTGTTTCTTTATTTTTAAGGAGAAGGACTGGAAAAGGGGAACAGAATCAGAAACAACCTAGTGATTGGCCTTTCTGGAACAGATGGTTTATCCAACATTGAGACTCTGTCACCAGCAGGGATCTATGTCAGGGCTCCTGCCAACCACATTGAGGTAAGAAATTCAAGTATAAAACATAACATTTCTTTTCTATTCAAAGATACCAGAAAGATAAGGAGCTTTACTGGGAGATCACATACACAACATTTGCTTCTTGGCTGAGCTGTCAGACACTGTGCTTGTGATGGGATAAAAAAAAATAAAAGTGTAAATTAAAAAACAGATTATATTCATTGTCAAATTTATAGTTACTGAAAATTATGCTGCACTTGAATGCAGTACAATATTGCAGTGAGATTCTTCTTACTCAGTGATGCCTAGACAAAATGGAAAAGGAAAGTTCAGGCTCAGCTTCACTAGATTTTTTTCTTCTTCTGTCATTCTAAATTTTTTTTGAAAATCTCAATTTTAATGGACTGATGATAAACACAATAAATTTAAGCAATATCAAATGTACGTCCATCTGGATTTATAGTTAGAGCTAATGCACAGGCTCAGATTTGCATTCCAGGGTGAGAAGGAGAATGCTTTCCCCTTCCCATGAAAATGACATTGATTTTAAAAGTAAGCAAGTTTCACTGTTCTAAAGAGTGACAAAACACTGAAAAATTAAAAAGCTTAATGACTCACAACCCTGCCTTCAAAAAGTTGAGCTCAGTGAACATCTTTTTGTTAGCTAATTCTGACATGCTTTATTTTAGTTCATACATAGATTTTTGTTCTTATTCAAGTCACTTACGTCTCAAAATAGTCACTTTTAAGTGCTTTATGAAACAAACAAACAAACAAAAAAACCCTGCATGTCTTTCAGTGATTTCAAACCACTTTTCCTTCTCAACTATTTTAAGCATGGAATTTCATTGTAACTGACCTTTCTTACCACAGTTTCAGTTGTGACAAATGCACATTTTCAGTAAAAAAAATAATTCTGACCTGTTCTATTGCTAACCCACAGAAACCAAAGCAATTACTAAGTGCCTGTGAAGACCCAATTGCCCCCTGGGCTTCTGTTTCAGGAGGAAAAAATTGCACCTAAATTTGAAGGTGAAAAAGAGAACAACACATTTCCTATGGTAGTCTGAAGCCAATAGTGCTTAGGAAGAAGGAGAGGACTTTCCTGCACTTCCCTCAAGGGTGTATTTATCATTTTTAAGACTATCAAATATGGTTAAAAATACAACAACGAGGCAGAATCACATGAATTTCAGCTCCATTAAACACAGTTTTGTACTATCATGCACTGACTTACCCTGGAGCTGTCTGCTGGATTGCCAGTGGCTCAGCTTTTGCAAAGGGTTGCTGCAATTATCTCTATGGGTACGTGTGAACCGACTGTGGTGGGTTTTCAGAACATTTGCAGAGCTCTCTCAGTTCATGTGTCTTTGTAGATACGCCCAAAGCTGCATCTGTGGCTGTGCAGCCAAATATCAGGGTTAAGCCTGCTCTCCAAAGCTGTCTTACTCAAGGCAGAATAGCAGATGGCCCTTGAAGGGTTGCTGATATACCTCAGTGTCGGCAGTTTCTTGGAGTGGGCTATCTGAGGCACTGCAGCAGCAAGAGAGTTGGCTCTAAGGAAAATATAAAGAAGTTACCCAGCTAAAAAATTGTTATTAGGAGTACTTACTGTTCTACAATAAGTATCATGTTCAGTAGAAGACATGGAAGGATGCGGATATTAAGAGAAAAAGCTACAACTTTTTCCAATCAGAGCCCCCATGTCCTGTGGACTTTTTCTTAGTATGATGTTAATCACTAAATCAAGGGATGCTGGTCCAGCACTAGGACCATGGTGTTACACAGTTAGGCACCGTTTATCTGGTAAAACAACTCACTAACTACTACATATTGCTTTTTAGGTGGCTATAATCTTAATTGAACAGGGAGGTTCAAAGACTAATAATGGGCAAGATTCATTTTTCCACTGCCTCGCTTCCAAGCCATGACATAGAGTAGAAATTTGCCCTCTAGATTTCAGTGTTATGTTTTTTGTTTATTTGATTGATTGGCTGTTTGTTTGTTTTCTCCAGATTTTTATCTTTCAATCACTGGTTTTAAATTTACAGGCTTCAGTCTTTAAAGCAAAGATTACAGCTAAGGTAGACAGAGTGCTTTAGGTCCAGACCGTGTTACAGTTTCTGTACTTGATGGGTTAAACTTTTCACACTGAGTCCTGCAACAAGATTTTCATATCTGCTCAATTTACTTGGGAGCCTAAATTTGCATCGGTGACTGAAGAGCTTAAATTTCCTTGAAAATCAGTGGTCTCCTAAACGGTGTTGAAATTGGGACACAGCAGTCACTCAAACCTGAGCCTACAAAGACATTCAGAGACCCAATTCCCACAGGTTTCCATTTGACTTAAGCTCTTAAGTGCATTTGTGAATCAAGCTGTTAGATAAAATTTTATACAGTGTAAGTGCAAAATGGTTATGACAAAGTTAGCATTTTTTTTTTTAATAAAGTATGGAAGCCCTGGTTTAGTGACATAAGACAATTTCATTAGCAGGCTGGTTTCTTGTCTGGTATCAGCAAGTGGAACAGAAGATGCCTCTCTTTGCTACTGGCTGTTTTGTCACTGAAGTAAATGCCATGTGTCCCTTGTTCTATTCTTGTGTGCAGGCAAAAACCAACCAAATCAAACCAAACACCAGAAAAATCAACAACTTCTCTCGTTTATCTTAGGCCCCGTATGTCTTAGGCTTTTTTTATAGTAACTTCCTATTCTTAAACATTCAATGCCCTTGAATCTCAGCACCAGCATGCAGTGCTCTCACATAACAACATACAAATTAGGTTTTAAGAAATTCAGCCAGCAGGCTCTCTTTCCTTTCTTGCAATGATGTTGGAGACAGGGCAACAGTTTAACAAGAATGAGCAGGGCGGAGATCAACCCATGCTTCCATGTCAGAGGAGTGACTGATGGCCATGCTGTTGATAAGTGATTTTGTTCCCCAGCACCACCCAACTCAGCCATTCTCCACAATACCAAAGAGGTGAGGCTGCATCTGTTTGGCATTGTTTGTTTGCCACCATTTCATTCCTACTGAGATCTTTTCTAAAACCTTTTGCAAATTGTGTACATGTTGAAGTGAGCCCACTGGGGATACTCCTTGCATCCTACCAGGCTCTGAAACTGGGGGAACAGTGCTGAACGTACTCTCCAGAGCTTTAATGTCATCTATAAGGTCAACACTTTGAGCCCCAATCATTTAAAACAAATTCATGAAATATTTACATTTGCGGGGTTGTACAGTTAAGAGACACTTTAAACGTCAGCCACTTATTTTACTGACTTGCGATGCATACCTCCAGGTATTTGGCATGCTCGAGGAGGTAATTTCTCTCTGGAATTTTGGTTGCACGGACATTCATAATATACTGACTTCCACAAAGAATTGATTTCCACACAAAATTCCCTCCTTGCCTAAAACCCCTGCCCTCCAGCCACTAGCTGGCTGAATAAATATGCAGTTTTTCCTTATGAATCATCTGCAGAATGCATGATTGGAGTCACAAGTAAAAGATCCTGGAAATAATGTGACAGGACTGCAGAAGCATTTTGTTAAAGAAAAAGGTTCTCTGGCTGCACTTTTGGAAAAAAGCAGCAGCTTTACCAGGGGATGGAGAGAGCAGTGCTTTGGTTATTGATATCTCTCTGTTGCTTGACAGATGTCAGAGATCATGACTGCAGGGAACACGCTTGGAAGGGTCAGGAGAAAGTAATTGGAATATGCAGGCTTTCACCTCTGGGTCACCAGGTTCAGCTTTGATTTGGACCGTCAGGGACCAAAAAGCCATTAGTGTTTTAACACTGTCCGGTGACCTAGGAATGGTAGTCACTGGATGTCAGTCCCGATCTTAGCAAGTTCTTCTTATAGCTGCAAGAAAACTCATCTTAGACTCCCTTTAGAGAACTAGGTACCTCCAGAGAGCAATTAATCTTATCTAAGGCTAGACACTATGAAATGCCCTCTGGACATGCCTACACCTTACTTTTTTTCCTGGAAAGGGAGCCTAAGTTTAGCAGCCTGGACTTCAGCACCAAAATTTCACACATCTAAGACAGTTGAGGGGGATCATGCCCAGATGCGCACATGAAAGCATCCCTGTATAGACAACATCCAAATACAAGTCAGTTTGCCTACTGTCCAAAATAAGCAGGTAAGAGCAGGTATTTGCCCTGGAGTAGAAAATCTCCTAGACCACTGTAAAACCTCCTGCACAACCCACTTGCTACAGACTCTGCAAGAACTAAACTCCTGATTATAAGCCTTATGTTCACTTCATTTTTCTTTGCAAAGAAAGCAACTCCAGATTTCTTCATTAAGAGATTTTAATTCACAATGAATTAATCTCCCCATGGTTAATCACTTAACCTGTAAAAAAGAATCAAACCCAAGTGTTTCGTCACAGATCTGAATAAGTTTAATTGTTCAGACACTAACATAGCATGGAGATGTATTTCTTTGCTTTGTCTTTACTTTTCAGGGTGTCACTTTTTCAATGCCAATGTTTCTTTCTGCTGTATTGACATGAGAAATATGCAGACTGAGAAGTAAATCAGGGAAAAGTATAGTTTGCCGTCAATACCATTTTTCTGTCAGGAGTTCCTATTGCTAGGCCAGCCCTTGCTGTCTGGTTTGAGAGCAGGTTTTTGTCAGCCTGGCCCAAGGACGGAGCAAGAACAGGATGAGAGCACAGATACAGAAACAAGGTACCAGCTTCTGTCAGCCTGACTTACCAGAATTTGCATTTTTTTTTTTTTTCTTCTGAAACTTATGTTAATTTTCAGAAATCTGTGGTAATCTTTTTCACAACTGTATATGTTTCTCTGCAGGGTAACACCGTGTGTGCTGCTGGGTATGGGTATTTATTTCATCTCTCCCCTGAGGGACCATCCAAAATGCCTCTTCTGTCCTTCAGTGAGAACGTCGCCCATTCTTGCACAAGGTACTTGGGGACCTTTGGTTGAAAAGACTTTCCTGTTGCACATGGTACTACTAATTATAACTGCAGTGGAGAGCAGAAAAGGCTTTTCCCCTCTTTTCAGGATTTTTTCTTCAATTTTGCACCTTTTAAAGGGCTTTCTTTCTTGCTAAGCAGAGTTCTCAACAGCAGAGCAAAGTCAGTGATGGACAGCGATGTGGTTGGGGCTATTTTTCAAGGTCTGATTGTGAGTGGTTTCCTTAGTAGTTTCAATACTGTCCTTTTGTCTTCTTTAACAAGCCCAATTTGTTAACTTGCTGAGATCTTCTGTGCTGATATAGTTTACAGTACTACATTTAACACATTTCCTCGTCAACCATTTAACAGCAAAGCACTGAAGCATGTACTCCTGTGTTGAATATAAAGCTCATTTTTAAGTATGACAGGCATTTTGAGCAGGAGAGGATGGCATGCAAGAGAACAGATATTTAACATGTGTTACAGGCCAACATTAGAGATATGACACTGGCATTTCTTACCTCCAGATGCTTTATAGAATAGCAGCACGATTAATCCATGTTAAGAGTTTAGCCTCCGATTAAGTAGGTTGAAATGGAAAATAAGCACTTTGCAGTCTAACAGGCTAAAAGGTGCTGTATGTATGCCCGATGTTACATGTAATGCTAGTTCTTGTAGTACCCAGCAACAGCTATTCACTACAGCTTTTGCCTGTGCTTCCCTAAAACAGAAACCATGGTAAAGAATGTCATTGTGCTGTAAATCAGTGGATGGATTAACTTGTATTGGGGGAATCAGGCTAATAATCTGGATTTAAAATCTCTGAGAAGGTCAGACCAAGGACTGTATTCAGGAACACATACTTTTAGAGCGTACTCAAAGTTGTTTGAATCCAAGATTAAGAAAGGACTAATCCATACAGATTCACTTAGGACTCACCTGAAGCCAACACTGGTTGAAACCATGATGGGAATGTGCTGCAGTAAGTGCCTGTCAGGGGTACAGCATGCTGGTTGTTTGCTCTGATGTGCCTTCTCCTAAATAGAAAACAAATATCGAGTAACATCTCCTTCATTATTAGATGCCTGAAATAAATACTGCTGTCCCCGAGGTTTTAGTCTTTGAATAAAGGGTAAAGTCTTGTGCAGCAAATTGTTATAAGATTTTAGATATCAATTGATGAGTAGGAAAATGTGGCCATGAACACATGCACTGTAAAGAAGCAGTGTCCTTTGCTTTCTTTCCTACACAGGCATGGATTGCTCGTGTACCCAGAATATTTGCCAGACAGCCCAAATGGCCCTGTTCAGTTCAACAGCTTCACAGCTTGGAGCAGCCAAGGTGGAGCCCAGGTATTTGTATCTTGACTGTCCTCTGTGGCATTCAGGAAATGTTATTTGATCTCTAGATGTGTACCATATCTATAAAGACTTCCAGGCTGCAAATAGGCCACAATCGCTGTAAAACCTCTCATGCCTGTGTCTCCATGCCCCTCAGCTGGAGGTTTTGGTGATGAAGCCAGAAACACAATTTGTGAGCAATCCTTATGCTTCAGTGCAGAACAAAAATTATCATCATGGATAGCTGAAGTGGACTCTCTAACCATCTGATGTATGTCTGTCACTATAATACAGACAAAACGATCCTCCCAGTGTATCTGAGGTATTTGTAAAGATTGCAGTTGGTGAAGGATCTGCTGCCTTCATAGGGTTAATGGTTTGCATGGAAATTTTTCCATCCTTGTTAAAAATGTGCACTTTTTTGTTTGAATTTGTCTAGCTTCATTTCCAGCTATTGTAGATCACTATGACTTGATCTGATAAAAATAGGCGAACAAACAAACAAACAAAAAACCCCAACAAAACAAAAGTAACCACTGCCAAAAAAGAACTTTATTATCTGACATTTTATTTTCATAATGGTACTCAGTCTGTGACCCTTTTAAGCCCCTGTTTGATAAACTGAAGAGATGGTAGGCGCTTCTCTGTAAGGCATTTTTTCTAGTTTAACTCATCCTATGGCACTTCCTTTGAAGATGTTCAAATTTTAAGTGCATTAAAGTGGCATATTCTCTCTGGAAAAGGTTAGTTGTATGAAAAGAAATACAACAAAAGGATGCTTCGCAGTTTTTTTTTTCCTGTGATTTTCTCCACCTAGCTTGTAATTTCTTTGTACATTACTGTCCCAGCATATATTAATGACCAAGTTTATTCTGCTTCTTTCCCTAAGCTCGCTCTAGGAACAGTCTTCTAGCAGTTAGGTGACTGCAAGCAATACCTCTGGTTATTTTCAAGGCATCTTTCTGCTATAAACATTACACTATTATTCTTTGAAGTCATGAAAATCATGATATTTGGAGCAATTTTACCCTGTTTGTTACCAATTCTCTGATTTTATTTCATACCGTTCTTTTATATTTTAATATGAAAACAAATTGGCAGAATGTAAAAGTTTTTTGTATTATTAATTGAAAGCTAAAATAATAAATTAAGGGGAGATTCTCAAATAATAAATATAAATTCAGTTGTTTTGCACTCTCACCCTCTCTACTATATTATAAGAAAAGCACAGTTATAAACCACAGTCTTTCAAAATTATTGGTTTTATTCCTTTATTATGTTTTTATATAGATTTTCAGGAGCAGCAACCTCATACTCCAGAGTTTCCGGATTTATGCTTGCACAGACTTCGGCATTGACATCGTTGAAAGCCTGGGAAACACATCTGTAGCTAATAGTTTTTTAATTGGACACATTGGGCAAAAGGTAAGCGCTGCAGGAACTAGCTCAGTGTCTCTTGAGTTGCACAACAACCCTTCAAACAGAAATTTAGGGAAACAAATAAGCAACCTGAAAGTCCATGCTCCGTGGCAATTTAGGTAAAGTTTGACTTTTGAATTTGTACATAGGGAGAAAAAGAAATGGCTTCAGGATGAGTTTTGGGCACTGATCTATACACTTAGTCCTCTAGCTGTCTTCTGCTGCTTGGAAAAATGATGCCTGCAGCAGCAGCACCTGCAAGGGACAATGATTTGGTGATGAAACAGAGAAACTTGCAGCATCAGTGCCTGCTGGAACCAGGGATTTTGTTGCTTCTGCTGGCAGCAGCAGAAGAGAAATAGCATTTGATCAGCTGGATCCTGCATCATTTTTCAGGCACTCCATTCATTACCAGCTGATGGTACAGAGCTGAGTAAATATCAGCTGTTGAGAAACTAGAGTTTGCATTCTGCAGGAAAAATCAGCATTTTTTGTTCTAAGCCATTTTTCATCATGGTATGAAAGTTTCAAAGAGTTTTTAAACAAACTTGAAGCAAGGTCTTTGATTTTTCTGTTTGAATTTTGAAACATTGAAAGATTTTATATTATAATGTATGTTCTTTTTTTTTTTTAAATATAAAATAACATTTAAGAGTCAAACCAAAATGTTACTTAGGTTCAATTATGAGCTGGAGGATTTTAGTAAGTTAAGTATTATTATTTTTTCCCTATTTTTCACAGGGACTATTTTTTAAAGAGAAATCACATTTTTTGTTTAAACAAGGTCTTCCTTGTTTACAATTCCTATAAATATTTTTCAGTAACATGCATGAACCATTTAACCATATAAAACTGAGTTTAGTTTACTGATTTGAGAATGGAGAATGATGAGGGCAATAATAGGTTTGATTTCTTTTCTAGTTATCTGGTTTCCTCTGCTCTCTCATACCGTCATCAGTTCACCTGGAACACATAGTGCTGCTTATTTACTTAAGAATGAAAAATGCCACCAAAAAATAACATTTTTATTTATGCAATAAATACGATCTTCTCTTATTTCTTTAGGCAGCTGAACAAAGTCCTTTGGGTGCTATGAGGTTGTTAACAGATTAGTAACATAGATTAATAACATAGATGATGAAGGAATTTTAGTTACAACTGGCCACAGATGCTTGTTTGCAATTTTGACGTCCCCTTTCCCCTGCTTGGGTTTCTGTTGCTGTTCATAAAATTAATTTGCTCTCTGACCAGCAGAAAAAGAGTTTTAAATGACTTTTCCTCAGAAGCTTACAGAAAGAAATCTCTGCAGTGGGCCTATTGAAAGCATCCTGTCCTACAGGGCTTCCCTGAGGGTCTCCCTGAAAGCCTCTCCTGTCCTCCCTGTCCTACAGGGGCCCAATGACACAATGACTTTCTCTCAGACACAAATGTGTGTGTTTTTGCTTTGCAGGATACATGGAAGGACTCTGATGCTGTACTTGTTAAGAGATTTAGAGGCACTCAGCTGTGCCTTGTTTCTTGCTGCACCCCAGGGGGGTGATTATCTTTGATTATCTCTTGATAAGAGCCTCCTTGTCATAATTTACATCTTAATTTATGTAATTCTCCCTTTAATAATGATGTCTCTTTAATATCAATTAAAACTTTGTGACATTAATTTAATGGGAACATTGGATTTTTCTCTCTGCTAGCCCTTCCAGTTTTTCAAAGAGGTGCTTTAAACCAAGATTGCTTTCCAGAAATATCAGGACATATCAAAACCGGAGCTTTGATCAATTAACATATTAGTGGCAGAGCCGGATCCAGGGCCTGTAAAAGGCAAGGGGTTACCTTCATAGACATTCAGTCAGCTCCTCCCTTGCTTTTTAAAGCAACTTAATGCCTCTGTGGAGCTATTTGTGGAGCCATTTGTGAAAAACTAGAAGGTCTGAGACAAGTGACACACACTAGGGGAGGAATTACCATCTCACACTCTTCTTCTACTTACTGATCATTAAAAGTGATAGAAATGGGGCTGGGGTGGAAGAATAGGCAAGTGTAAGCAGAAAAAAAGCATAGAGTTCTGAATAATTTATTACCAGCAGCTGGGGTTTTTCTACCTAGCAGTGACTTGGAAGAAGATGACCCAAGGACCAGGACCCAGGTGTTTTTGCCTCAAAGTAAGAGAGGTGATGGAGACGCTGCTTCTTAATGAGATTAAAAATAGTACCACTCCTTTGAAGTGACAAACTATTTCTAAAAGTCCATTTCATTCCAAATTTTCACACAGGGCTGATTTCTCCCTTGATATTCTGCTACAGCCTTTGGGATCTGTTCTGTAAAACTGTTTATTGGCCTCAGAAACAGCATCACATGTTCCTACCAGCTCTTTATCCTCTAGGCTACCCACTGGCATAAAGTACTTCCTTCTTCCCAGCCTGTCTCCAAGATAAATGGGCAGTGATATGCACTTATCCTCTCTGTCATGGCCTCCAATCACTGTTAAATCTAGTTTTATTTTTGTGTTTCTCATTGTTTGTGTGTTTTGCTCTTCTTTTTCACATGTCCAGCTTAAATTCTTCCCACAGATCCCCAGTCATGCAAAAATATTTTGAATCTCAGCTGTCAGGCTCTTCTTGGAACCTAAAATAGGATAATTGGCTTTGTAAAGTATGGAAATTTCCTGCCTGATGGACAAGACAAAGTAAAGTAAAAAGGGATGTAAATGAATCTGCTTGCTGTGCCTTCCAGGTGGATTTTTTTCTTCACAGGGAATGTGAAGTTCTATCTCCCTTCAGATGTCTAACCTTACCTAGTATGCAGAAGGCAGGACTGAAAGGAACACTATTGCGTAATGTAAATAGTAAATTAAACAGATGTTACTTGCCACAAGTTGCAAGGCAAATAATAAGGCAAATAAGTGTCCTTCAAATAGCTCCAGAACCAGGGGATCAAGTGCAGTCACCTCTTTTTCTCCCAGTTACTGCATCATGGACTCCTTAGACCTGGAGATTCACGTGTTGATTTGTTTCTCAGTTCTCTTTGTTTCTTCATTTCAGGGTGGAACCTGCATGTCTGCAGGACTGAAAACTCCCAAAAGATACCAGCTACTCATCTCCAACACAGCTTTCAGGAACTTTGACATAGACACTTGCACAGCAATCAGGACCTGTTCTGGCTGTTACCAAGGGCAGGGTGAGTACAATCTACACTTATTCAGCAGTGTTTGAACAGTCCTTGGCTGCATCCATTTTGGATTCATATTTTTAGAAGGTCTTAGCTTCATCAGACAATCACTAATAGAGATTTCAGCAGAATCCTGGAAAATGTTGTATGCAATGATGAAGAGGACTGTCCCCAGTTTTGCTTTAGTTAACTTATTACTATGTTTGCTATAGACAAGTTATCCAGAGCTAGGTTTTGAGTTATTTGCATATACGTTTTGCTGATATTTCAGTGCAGTACGTAGTTTTCAAACGTGTCATTCTCTTTGCATCACCTTCCCAACTGGGACATCAAGATAAAAGCTCTTCCCTGTTTGCAGGGTGATGGAGCATAGGAGGGTGATATGCAGCTGCAAGTCCGATACTGTGCTTGTTGTGCAGCTCAGATGAAGTGAGAAAATTCCTGAGCCAGGATTGTAGTGATATGCACAACAATTCTCAATAATACTTAGCTTTTTTTAGTGTGTGCACTTTCACAGAATCACACAGAATTTCTAGGTTGGAAGAGACCTCAAGATCATCGAGTCCAACCTCTGACCTAACGCTAACAGTCCCCACTAAACCATATCCCTAAACTCAATGTCAATGCTGACATTGTTGTCAGGCTGAACAAGACCCTTCAGCTGTTCTGATCTGCTCATTGTCAGGTTGTAAGTTCTTCAGCATTTAGTCAGAGCCACATATTGTACATGTCTTTGAGAAGAAGGTGGCCTTATTTTTGCACTGATTTTATTTTCTCAATGGGACTTTGGAATGTTTTTTAATACTTTGACTTGTTGCTTCTTCATTTTGGGACGTAACATTTCAAGAGCAATGATTTGTCTAATAACTATGGTGCATCCACACACAATTTTACCAAGCTACAACCTCAGGCCAGCCTAAACCTTCAGTGAATTTGCCTAAGATAATATATGTAAACTAAGCATCCTTTTGAGCTTTGAAGAAGTACCCAAAGGCTCTTTGAAGAACATTCCAACTGCAATTACCTCTTAAATATATTTATATATAAACTTATACTGCCCTACAATAACATAACAGAGAAAAAGACTTCAGGAGGTGAGTGAGATCAAAGGACAAAAGGAATAGTAAAATCTGACTCAGAGAGGCTACAACTGACAATATGATAGGCAAATAGTAACCAAATGTGACCCATGAACACTCATGCCAAAGGTGACATGTTAAGGTACATGGGGCAATAATTTTTGGACACTCCTGAAATTATTAATGTGTTCAAAAACTTTCTGTGCTTTAGCCCACATGAATATTCCTCCTTGCTGTATCTGTCAGTGTTACAGTAGAGAAAACATACTCCAGCCACACTTATTAGCCAAGGCTTTATCCTGCCAGGTGCTGAACATATGCACACACAGATAAGCAGCCCTTACCTCTGACAAGTTTGTCTTATAAACAGGGCAGAAAATATCTATAAATATTCCTGTTTTGGGGATGATAACTTTTGACAATGGGATTTATGAAGAGGTTTTTGGAAAAACTCAGGAGATACTGGAAGAGCAGCACCTAGATCAGAGGAGCCTGTAACAAGTCCTGTCACAGCAGGAAGCTGGACAGGTGGGACCTGGCCAGAACATACTTTTTTTTATTTCTTTATTTTTTTTTCCGAATTCCCCTCTCTCGTTGAGTTAGCAAACACTCTTCCAAAGTGATAGTGAAGTGAAGCTAATCTCTTTTTCTCCAGAGAAGCCTTCAGACCTTGAAGAGGTTCATCTTTGGTTCTGAACTTCTGCTTGTTCCCCTCAGGTGGGTTTACAGTGAGAGCTGAGCATTTGACCTTCACCAACTCACCTTTCCAAGTATCCTTCCCCTTTCCTCACTCTGCCATCCTTGAAGATCTTGATGGATCTGTCACTGGACAAGAAGGAAGTCGTCTCCTCCCTTCTACAGACATCCTTGGGGCTTCATGCACAGCCAGTGCCAATTTCAGTCAAGCTTCTGGTGGCAGCGTTTGTGGCAGGGACCTTGTTTTTCACCGTATGTCTCTTCATTTGTAAGTAACCATTTGTCTTTTGGAAAAAATTACTTGCTATGTTTTACATTGACAGAGATGCTGTGTATAAACTCAATCCCAAGACTCTTTGCTGGGCTGTAAATGAGGTCAGGATAAAATCCTGAGCACTGGCATAGAACAGTTTGTGCTGTTGTACACATGATCTCTGGCACCATTTTTGGTGTGACTTCTTGTTCTTGCCCAGACAATTCCCAGGCACAATTTGAGTGACAACACAGGGACCATTCCTAAGTGGCAATTTGGATGTAGTCATCATGGTTTAGATGAGGGAACTTAGCTGTATGGACAGCTACAAAAATTATAAATACAACTTGGCCTCTAGGCCAGAGGACAGCCTTTGGTTTATTTTGTTTACTAATTTGGACATGGCCTGTCCAAACCTGATTTTCTTCTGAGGTTCTCAGCAAGCTTGTTATCTTTGTTACACTGGTTTTCTATCTATAGTCTTGATCCTGTCTGGAGACAGTTCTGGCAGTGTTAAGTTGACTTTTAAATGGTGATTGTGGTATATCTCTGTTTTGTCCCTCTTCAAATTACCAGAGGGATATAAATGGGCTTTTGTAGTACTGAGAATCCAGCTCAAGGTGGACACTGACACGTTAATGTTCAAAGTGAGATTGATGACCAAGCCTTAGCCGCAGTCAGGTTTAGTGGGTGAATTGGGAACTTTGCCAAGATTTTCTGACTGCTGAAATATAAAGTAGACATAGATCATGAGAACACCTCCACTGTTGATAAAATGTAGAAAAAAAGTTTGAATTTAATTATATTTTAAGTCATGCTCTGAGGATGTTTCCTTTTATACTCATTGTGAGAGATTTCCCTAACAGTTCCCAAAGGATAGGAGGTCACGAATAGGTTAGTTTTTCATGTCTTCAGCAGAATATTTCTGGCATCTAATTTCATTTATTTGTAAGTTCCATAAGCATTATTTCATGGGCCCAGCTGTCATGCAATGAACAGACGTATTGTACAGCGGATATAATAACTTCATAACGTATTTAATTAAAAGAAAACTTTCTGGTAGATAATTTTCTGCCATTCTGTTGTAGCCATGTCTCTTATCACAGAATCATAGAATGGCTCGGGTTGGAAGGGACCTCAAAGATCACCCAGTTCCTACCCCCTGTCATGGGCAAGAATGCCACCCACTCAGGTTGCCTATGGCCTCATCCAGTCTGGTTCTGAACACTTCTGGGGATGGGACATCCACAAGTTCTCTGTGCTGTTCTTTTCTTTCTGTGAGGTACATGAAGTCAGTTCAGATCATCAAACCTGTTTCAGTCTATGTGATTATGGCTCACTATCATTATTATGGAATCAAACAATGGTTCAAGGGAGATATGAAACTCAAAAGTAAGCTTTTATTACTGTGGGGGGCAGGGCTTTCTTGACAACTAGTTAATTGTTCTTCTGAATTAGTTAAGATACCAGTTTCCACTTGATTACAATGGGCACTTGTGATAATACTACTGTATATAGACTGAAATGGAGAAAAACAAAACAACAGCAACATTTCTTTGTCTTAAATGGTGGAGGAAGCCAAAGCATAAATGAACGAATCACTTTGTAGATGAAAGCAACTGCAGTAAAATTGTGATATAGCTCTAAGCTTATTCAGCACTCAAATATTACGGGAATGATTTGGCAGGTGAGCCAAAAATTCAATATGAGTGAATTCAAATTGAGTTAAGACATAAAAATTTAGATATTTTCCTGAAGAGCATGTGTAGTCACCATGTGGATATTGACAATGTGTCCTACTGTGGCTGATGGAAACCTGGGTCCTTGATTTGGTTGCCCATGCAAAGGTGTCTGGTGACATTTAAAATTGATCATAATGACTCACTTTGTTTGTCACTCTAGTGGCAGAAGATCAAGGATCTCTCACAGGCACTGTATAAGATCTGCCATCTCACTCTGATATTTTGGATTCCTAGAGACATTTTAAAAAACACCAGATGCCTGTTTCTCTGGTCCCTCTCTTAGGGGCCAGTCAATTGAATTGCTATTTTGGCTTCTCCTGACTGTACTTACTATGATGTTAGTGACTGTAATGGGTGTTTAGTTACTCAAAGCACATAGAAACATCTATAGACACTTAGGTGCCTTAATCCTAAATTGAAAGATTTTCCTCTACCTGCCTTCTACACTGGTTTTGGGGGAAATAAGACATGCAACATAAGACATAAGAAATAAGGCACAAGGCATACACAGAGTGTGTGCATGTATATATGTATACGTGTATATATATATATATGTAAATGCTGTGTGTCTCTTTTTTACTTCGGTTTGAATCCATTCCCAGTTTCTTTCTTTCTTTATTTTATTTTATTATTATTATTATTATTATTATTATTAAAGGATCATAATAGTCCCTGGCACAGTTTTGGCCCATGACAGCTATGCCACTCCCACGTAATTTAACCTGACCCAGGGACCATTTCCAGTAGGGCAATTTGTATCTGTCTGTGTTTTTTGAAGGCTGCAGGAGTTATATTGTATGAATATATTGTACAGCTAGGCCATACCATGTGGCCTCAAGGCCAAAGGACAGGTCACAGCACCAGTTAGCTTACCCATAGAGGTGTAGCTGCAGGTTTGTGTCTGACTGCTTACATACCCTATGAATGGATGAGACAGTTTTGTTGGAGGAGATCTGTATGGATAAAACCACGCCTTATGATGTAAGCTACATGTCTGCTTTGCTGGTATCTCTTTGCACTGCCATGCCTACTGTAAGTTTGCAGCAGAATGTTACTTTTAACCTTTTTTTTTTTTTCTTTTTCTGGAGACATAAAAATTGTTCTGGAGAGTTCAGCCTCCTACTTGTATCATCTTATATCCCACCTTGGAATAACCCAGTCCTGAAGTCCAGCTCTTTCCCACTGGCTCCTGAGTACCATCCCAGCACGCTTCTGTTGTTCCTCTTGCCTCCCCAAGCTGCATTTGCTCTTGCCTTTAAGCAGCTGGCAGCTAAAGGGATCCAGTGGAGAAATACCGCTCAGCCAAGTACTTTCACCATTTCTGTTATATTGGAGGAACTCCTGGCATAAAAAGAAAAGGGGAGAAAAAAGGATTTTAGTAATCTGAGTACCACTCCATGCTCATCTTCCCTTCCCAGTGCTCCACTCAACATTTCACTTTCTTTTCAAAGTATGAGTTTGAATCATTAGCCATTTTTTGCTGTTTCAGGTTTGTAGTACACAGACAGCAATGTTGAAGCGCTCTGTCAAAGCTCTGTTATTAATTCATTTCTATCTTACAACTCATGTTTTAGAAGAAATATTTTTTTTTCCTTTGCAAATAGGGAAAAAAAAATTATCATGTGTTCCTCTGAAGTGGAAAACTGTATGACTTTCAGCTACCTGCAGGCTTTGGATGTGCTTATTTGTTTCAACTAGTGAAAACAAAAGGCTGCACTAAATTAAGAGTTTGGAATTGTTTTGATTTAACAACGTGTCCTGATTAGATGGCAAAATACTACTATGCTAGTTGTCTTTCTTGATCACTTAAGCATGAGGTCTTATGCAACCTAGTTCCTTTTCTAGCCACTTTTTAACCTTGATTATATGGATCTTTGCTCAATAGTGTGTGGTTGGTGTAGTTTCTCACCACACTTACTGTAGATTTGAGTACTTTTGGGCACTGCCACGATATCTAATAATATTTCATGACAGGTAATGTCTTCAATACACATCATTCCTCCTTGCATCAAAAGGGGTGTAAGAAGAGCAAGTACAAACAGGAGTTCACCTGCACCATTGCGGTTTGAACCCTGGTCTAAACTTTGTCTTCCCTGTAAATTGCTTAAGAGTTTTAGATAGTCATAGAATCACTAAGGTTGGAAAAGACCTCCAAGATCATCTAGTCCAACCGTCCCCCTACCACCATGATATGATCATATAAGTGACGGATGTGCCCAGTCCCCTTGATAAGATTTATATCAATCTCTTATTTCCAGCAAGTCCCCTTCCTTTTCTTTCTTATTCACCTAATGAGCTGGAAGTCAATTTGTGTCAAAGATACTTGGCAGCCCCAGTAGCCAGCTGTTAGCCTGCCCTCTTGAGGACTATGTACTCACCAGAGTAACCTGAGAGACTGAAAACATCTTCTCTGTGCTGCTTCCAGATCCTCTCTCGTGAGTAGCTCCTACCAGCCAAATCACTGTCATGTTAAGTTGAAAGACTGTCAGCAGGCAGCCAAGCAGAGCAGGAAACAGCTGGTGTTCAAAGCAGTGAGTCTGGGAGGCTTTGGTCACAGAGACAACGCTCCAGAATGGACCTGGTGGAAGAACAGGGTGGGAAGCAAAAGGAGCTGGAGGGGATGAAGGATGCAAGTCAATTAATAAAATATCCTCAGTGTGACATGAGGATGAGGGGGTGGGGAAGAAAAGGAAAGGGTGGATTTTGTCCAGATGTATTTGAAGAGTGTTCACAATAAAAAATGAATAGTTTGGGATTAATACAACAAAACATGACTAGGAGCAATTGGCAGAGGTTGAGCAGACAGAATAAGAAAGATAGGCTGGGTGACAGGAAGAATTTCCTAGCAATGCAGTCTCTTGGATTCATCTAACATCAGTAAAAAGATTAAAGTGTTGTTTAGGTACTGATGCTTGGGTTTCTTCAGTTTCTGATAAGCAAAGAATTGCTGTGGAAATAACTCTTCAGTGGTGCTCTACCAGCTCTGGAGTACATGACCTGTCAAATCTGCAACTTGCTAGTTCCTCATTGTACTTACAATCTGTGCTAAGTCCCTGCTGTTGGGAGGATGGGGGACAATCAAAACCAGGGGTGAAAAATGATATGCAAGCCTCAAGTCCAAGCTTTAAACACTGAAGCCACATTTGCTGATCATCAGACTGAGGTGTTAGCACAAGAGCATCCTCACTTTGATATGAAGTCATACTGTACAAGGAGAAGATTTCTGGCAATAACAATAAAACCATTTCATCTCTTGTGCTCAGTAGCTCTCTC